TGTTTTCAATTGTTTGCAATAAGCTTTTAATTGAACTATTTATTTTTTCTAAAAAAATAAATAAGCAAATATATAACAGAAAAGCGCAAAATTCTCATATTTCGTAGATTGCGAAAAGCAATACACAGTAAAAATCTTTTACAGATCAAAATTATATTTCTTATGCATCTAACAAAAATTTTTCAACCGGATATGGGAAATTGCAAAAGTAAATAAAAAATAAGTACATAAATAAACTCTAACTTTTTATAAATATATTTTGATTCAATATTAAAGTCTTATTTGATTAGTAATATAACTTGTTAAAAATGGAGAGAGTCTCGCTTTTTATGATTTATGGGTACAACTAAGCATCATAATTTTTTGCACTTTTTTGGATTTTTAAACCCCTTGTATCTGAACAGTCAAGAGTTTGTAAATGATTCAAATAAATCAAATTCATTCTCATTCATGTGTTTTAAAATTATAAACAGATATATTTGTGTGTAGGAAAAAAAAAACATTATAAAGCGAGAAATCAGTTTCAACCTTCCTTAATTTTAACAATTGATATAATAAATCGGTAGCTTACTCAATTAGCTATATTTCGTGGTTCGTGCACTAATAAAGAAAGCTAAAATATAAAAAGAAAACTATGAAAGAAAAATTAACGGTAACGAAATTGTTAAATCTTCTTATTTCGCATCTTCATAAATTAGTAAAATCAAATTTTTCTCTCATCTGGACACAAATGCAATAAAAGTTAGATCTTTTGTAATTCATACATTTTAATTTTTTAATGTCCTAATTTTTATGAGTTAAGGTGGAAACTTCTAACCGTATTTCATTTATTAAATTGGCTAAAATGTTCAGACTACACAACATCATTTTTCGTTCTTTTCTTTATCTTCCATCTCTTTATCTAAGCAGTCGAAAGTTTGTAAATTATTTAAATCATGGTGAACGACTATTTGAGTCTTTCACAACTATTGAGATAATATAGTACGTTTATAGTACGCCATGATACAAATTAATCAAGTTTCTTTAAATGCTTCAAATATAAACACATATATTTTTGTGCAGGTAAAAAAAGAACATTAAAAAACAAGAAATTAGATTCTTTGAACTCTCAAAAATTTGAGTAATTTATCTGATAAATTTGTAATAAGCTTCGTGTTCATGCATCACTGCGATACTTTTTGAATATCTTGATTTTTTACAACGTAAGCACATTATATTTCTTAAACAAATGCGCAAACAGAAGTTTAACTGTTATAAAACTCTGAAGAAGCATCATAGTATTTTTTTTCCCATTATAGTAATAACTTTTAAGTAGGATTAATTTAAAATTTCTTTTTAGAATTTGTTTTACTAATTAAAGAAATGTTTAATAATTTTTTTCAGGCACAAGTTAGACACTGTTAATAAATTATTAAAAAAAGGAAGAAAATTAATGGTAATAAAATTGTTAAGTCTTCTTATTTCGCAACTTAAAAAATTAGTATTATTCAACTAGACATAAATGCGTAAAATGTTGGATCTTTTATAATTCATGCATTTAAATGTCTATTTTTTAATATATTTACTTTGAGGAGTTAACTCAGATACTTCTAAGCTGGATTGCATCTTTTTAATTAGAAAAATATTCTGAAAAAAATTATCAATATATTGTATTTTTATTTAATTTTTATATGAAAAAATTCATAAACAGTGGCAGGAAAACTACTAAATTATTGAGCCGAATCCTGAAAGAAATATTTACTATAATACGTTTCCCTCTGAATTAAAAAGTCCTAAGGAGCGAAGTCCCCTCCGCTATTTTTGGGTGTTTATTTTAACTTTACATGTTGCTTTGCTGCACAAAAAGAATAAGATTTAGAAGTTTCAAATTACGAAGGATAAGCGGTTGAGGCTCAGGGGAAAGAACGCTAGCCTACTAATGAGTTTTGAGGCTTTGAATCCTAAGAATTGCTGGTTGATACGAATTTCGTACCTGGCTGACATAAAATATTCCAAGTGATAGACGCATCGTGGATTATTAGAGTCCCATCTTCGTCTTGCTAATAGCGGGGGGTTTTCGTGGTTTATCTCACCATGAAAAAGTTCTCCACGAAGGCAATTCGTTCCCTATACTTTTGTACAGGAGTTCTCTTATTTTTTGGTTTAGATTCAAAATTACAAGGATATAAAGTTGAACACTGGTAACCGTGAGCTCAAATTCCGGTTGGCTGTTCAACAACAATTATAAAATAAAATTACAAAGGATTACAGAAAAATGGACAGAGAGTGCGATGAAAATAAAAATGACTATTCTATAATTAGTTTGGAAATTGTTATCTGCAAAATCTGGTGTAAAAAAATACTGTACTGGCTGCTTTGCAGAACACAGAAATGCAAATACTAATTTGAAATTTTACGCACTGTAAAGGCTAATTTTGTTCTTGAAATTAATACCGGTATTCAAATATGTTCGAAAATCAATTGCAATTTTATTATTGCCTTTTACGCACCTTTTTTTTCCTTCTTTTTCTTTTCACGTTATATTCATTTTGTTTTACTGTGATAAACGATAATATTTATTATTTGAAATTATGATGAGTTGTAGAGAAAATTTAGATTTCGATTGTTAACTTAAAAATCATAAATTGTTAATAAAAAAATACTGCGATTGGTTGATATGTTTGCTAGAAAAGAAAATTTAATCAAAAGTACCAAAATATTGTAAAACTTACTTTATTTCCGGCTATAGGGGAAAACCAAAAAGCTCAGTATTTTTTAACGAAGTGATGGTTTAGTAATGTTTTCGGTAAAAGTAATAAAAAATTTAGATTTTATAATATAAGTTGAAATGCGAAAAACGTGGTAAAATTTCGTAATTTTATCATGATAGTTTAGAGCACTGTATAAAAACCATTTGTTCAGAAAAATTTACTATTCAGTTTTATATTTTTTACTAAATGTGAGGTTAAAAGAGCTATAATTTTGAAAGCTAGAGTATCTGGTTAACTGCTATCATTTTAACAAAAAAATTACCAAATAAATAGTTTAAATACTTGGTTTTATTAACAGAGTTATGGTTTTGTTTTGAAAAAATGTTATTATCATAGAATGCGGTAATTTAAGCAAAACTTTTTCTTCGCGTAGTTGGTTGAAAGGTAACTTGGTTAAAATTTAATTTGCTGAAAGGGCGGATTTATGTGTAAACTTAACAAGAATTTCGTTTTGAAATTCCAATATGTTTGAAAGCAATTGAAAATTTAAATACTCATTCGTTATATCTTTCTTTAAGTTTCTTTGCTTTAAATATTGACCATTGACTATTTATCCATTGTCATAAAAAATTTATTTTATAAGCTTGCGCTCAAGTTGTTGTCAATCAAAAGTAGCGAAAGACAGCGAGAGAGAGATTTGTTTGTTGCCTAATATCACTCTTAATAATTATATTGACATTTTTAAAAACAATAAACTTAATAAATAACGTTAAAACCGTTCCCTGTTTAAACTTTAATAAGTTTTGTTAACGAGTAAAATTACTTCTCATTATTTTTTCCTGTTGAGTTACAGAATCTAAATTCGTAAAGTTTTTTTCTTTCTTTCAAGTACAGATAATTATTTTTCAAATTTACTAAATCCTCTATTTCATTATGCTTAGCAAAATCTTCTTACATAAAGCTGCAATACTTGTATATTTTGAAAATAAAATGTTATGTGTTTTGCGAAAAGTGAAAAATATTGCAGCTTAAGGAAGTATATATATAGAAAAACAATCAATGATGAATGAATGATAAGCAATTACGGGAGTGAGCGGAGTAAGAAAAGGGTAAAGCCTGCTATTTTTTATTTTTGTATAAATGGAATGATTTTTAAACAAAAAATAGACAGGTAATTTTTAACTATGCATTTAATAAAATATTTAAAGTTTCAAATGATAAAATTAAAAATAACGTTTTTTACGTGTTATAGCTATGCAAATAATAGCAAAATAAAAACTGATGTTACTTCAAAAAATTTCGATGCATGTTTTAAAATATAAACTGTGTGTATATAAGTGTGTTTTAAAATATAAATTTAAAATATAAACTAAATAAAACTGTTTGAAAACTAATAATAGATTTCTAAAATCAATGTTGCTGCTTAAACGTAAATAAAATAAAGTTTTAAAGTTAAAGTTACGATTTTTATGTTAAAGAATTTAAATATCCTGAATTTTAATGCCATAGAAAGTATAAATATACATAGCTAAATAGAATTTCATCGTATGAATATCATCTGTAAGAAAGTTAAAAGAACATCATTATCCTTATAAAGATAGTTAAAAGAAGTAAGTATTTAGTAGAAAAATAAAGTAACCTCAAATTTTTGCTTTAAGTATCCAAGGTAATGAATTTGTTGCAGTTGGTTATTTAGAATTTTAAATCATTGTGATCATTAGCTTTCAACCAAAAGTATAATTATTTTGGTTGAAAGGTGCTAATATTATATTTTACACGGCCAGTTTGCTTAAGTAAATAAATTTGCCCAATTAAAGTTATTTAATTATTTATAAAAAATATTTCATAAAAGTAGAACGTGTTTTTATGTACTAAAATTGTTAAAAAGCTGATGAAACCTAAAAAAATGGTTTATTTACTTAAACGTCCTTAATTATGGAATCTTTACTGTTCATTATAAAGAAACGATATTCTAATTTACTACTTCGCAAATCAAAATATATATGTAAGCATTATTTCCCAGTTTATATGTATTAAAAAATTTTCTTACGAAAAGTACTCAAATGAACTTTGACTTCAATAATTTTTTAATTTAGTAAGCTTGCTTATTGCTAATATTTAATAAAAGATTTTAGTGCATATTAATTTCTTATTATGAGGACCAGAAATTGTCTTTAAGAATTCAAAATAGATATTGATTACTGTTTGAAATCACCAGATAAGTATGTTTGAAGTCCTTGAAGTAAAAAGAATGTGGGGGAGTACATTTTGTCCCCTACCCCCAATTCTAAGGAACATTCGTTTCAAGTACGGAAAAGCTGCTCAGTAGGTGGTCGTTGATTACTTGTATGTATAGAACAAGCTAAAAGATTCATTTGACGAAAAGGGTATAAAAAGAAGGAGATAAACGTAACCCCTAGTTTCTAAAGGGGTCTCCTATCTTTCTTCGAAAAATAGAAATGGTGCCACTTGAGAGCAAGTAAGTAACAATTTTTTTCTCTTTAGTTCATGTAATTTTAAAATTTTTTTTAACTTATTAATTAAATAGCTTTTTATAATTAGTTTAATTCGTTTTGATTTTATTTGCTAAGTTTTTAGAAATTATGTTTTATAACTATAATACTTTAGTCGGCTATTTTATCTTATGCTTTCCTGTTGTTTAGTTTAAGCTGCAAGTTTAGTTTTAAAATGAATTAGACGATTTTTTTAATAAATAAAAGTTCAATTAACTCTACCTAATAAATGAAAAATTTATGATTTCTTATGCATTAATTCAAAATGCTTCTTTCATTTTTCGGAAGCATTGATTAATTTAATAATTTACTTCATTTCGGTAGCCATATTTTTTCTCTGAAGGACTGTAAAGAAACATTATTTGAATTATCTAAACCGCGGGTGTCACTTATTGTTTCAAATAATAATTTTGATTAGATATGAGAAGAAATATTTTTTGAACCACCATAAAATAAATAAACAAATAGTAAGAGTTTAAATTTTCTCATCTCTAATTAGTTATTTTATATTTAAATTATACTTTAATTTTGATATTTTTCTGCCTTGACTTTTTTAAATTAAAAAAAAAAAAATAATAACGTTGGTAAACATGCTAAAAATTGTTCCACTAAACACTTCCACTTTTAAAGTTTTTTTGAGCATTTTCAGAATATATTTTTAAACAATTTACCTATTTGTTTTGATATTCAATATAATATATTTTTTGTTCTAAATAAATAAATAACAAAATTACATATTAAATAGAAGGACAGTATTTCTAATTTTTATTTTGTTGTTTTTATACTTCTTTTGCATTTAATGAATTGCTGTAAAGGTAGAAGAACATTTCAAATCTTTATATTAAGTTTGATTTTACGATTAAATTTGTTTTAAAATGAATTAATTTGTTATAAAATTATTATGTTGTAAAATTAAATTTGTTATAAAACAAATTTAATTTAAAATTAGGTTCAATTTTTTTGAATTGAAATTAGAATATTATTTCATGGTTATTATTTTTAAAATTTATTCATAAGTATAAATAATATTTTCTGTATAATAATTTTTTTCATGAAATAAAGCTTTTTGTATTAAATATTTCTGGTCCTCAATGCTATAAAGACGATTACTAATTCTTTTTTTCCAGTTATTGTACAAAATCTATAATTTATCTCATGTAATTCATCTTTTTCTTAATTTACTATTTTGAGTTTTTAAATGGTTGTTAATTCTAAAATATACCTGTTCAGCCTTCACCTTTGACAATTTTGTATTTACGAAAGTGTATACTTAACATATTTTCTACAAAAAAGAATTTTTATTAATTGTTTAATTAAAATTTAATTTATGATGATAACTGTGTAGTGGAAATATATAATCCAGAAATTGTTGGAAACCATTCCTCAAAAATTGAGGAAATTTTATTTTTAAAATTGAGAGGGAGCCCTAACTAACAAAAGCTTTATTTAGAATTTGTCTATTTATTTTAATTCTAATTTATCTATTTATTTTAATTCTAATTGGCTAAAAGACTAGTTCTTTTTCTAAATTAGAATCAAAAAAATTTTAAGAGAAAATTTGGTACGGTAAAATTTGGTAAACATTCAACTTATTGTCAGTTACCAAAAATATAAATATTCGCCGTAATTTTAATATATGATCCTTCTCTTTCATTTAAATCAAAATTAATTTCATTTAAATCAAAAAATTATTTTTAACAAAAATTATAAAATATAATTAGTTAGAAACAGTTTTGATTTTGTTGATTTTTAACTGTTTTTATGACGTTCATATTCTAATTTATTCCTTTTCTTTTATGGAAAGACAGGGCGAAAGATCCAAGAAATGCTAATCCAGCGATTAACAGCCATCAACAGCAAAATAAGGTAAGAACATAGTGAAACATTAAATATTAATATTTTTTTTAATTAAATCACTTATTTTTGATTTGCAAAAGAATTTTGATTTTTTGAAATAATAATTGTGCTTATCAAAATTAAGTTCACTTTATGCATTTCTCTAACACAGTCTTTATTAATAACAAGTGTTTTTATTACTCATATAAGCTTTTATATTGTTATTTTTGCAATATTCTTATCTAATAATTTCATAATAAGGTTTTGTAATAAATGAAAAATGCACTTTATGAATGTATAAATTAGGTGAAAAGATGTGCTGACAATTTTATATCATTATGATATTTTAGTATTTGTTTTCTCTGTTTTCATGCCTCTTATAAAATTTTTTTATCAATCTATTTTTTTAATTAGTTAGAAAACAAAATTTTAAAAAAAATTATTTTTACTGTTAAAATAACTACGTCAAGTTATGAATGAATAACGAAATATTTTTCGTTATTTTATTTGAAATGATAATATTATATAACATTTCATTTTTCTATAAGTTTCACCAGCATATAATATTCGTATTAAAGCAATTATTTTAGCAAATATTTTTTACTTAAAAAAATACATGAAAAAAATTAAAAACTTTGATGTCCACATTAAATTTGGGCTGAAAGGCTAAAAGTATTCTCCTACAAGCTTGTGCTAAGTTTTATTGAATTTACCAATTCACATTTAGTTCCTCTAACACACCACATGCTTAGAGTATAAACAAGATAAATAGATAAATGATAAACAATAAACTTATTGTCATATTCCATAACTGAAATAAAAATATTTACATTAATCTTCATACATGATTTTTAGAAACAGTTTTTTTTTTAAATATTTCAATTTTGTTGTTTTTGTTTCAACTAATTTTACAACTATCATATTCTAATTATAGTTTTTTCTTTCTTTCATAGCGAGTCAGAATGGAAGATCATCAACAATGAAGATAAAACTCAAAATTTAAAAATCAGCAAAAAGGATGGTAAGAAATAAATTTATGTTTTACCTTAGGTTACCACATGGTTGAAAAGAAACCAGTTTTTTTTTTGTTTAAACTGGGGGTTTTGTGTTTTTTAAAAGCAATTTGTGGGACATTATTTTAAGCCAATTGAAATTAACCGAATCAATTCAAGGTCTTTCATAGCATTTAACTATTCCATTAACTATTAATTAATATTTTCAATAAACAACTAAAAATATCCACTCTTTTCTTTAAATATATTAACAAAATATCTAATAAAAAAGGAAAGAACTAAATATTTAAGTATGCAGCTTTATTTAGCAAGCAAAATAAACATTCAGCATTTAAATTCGATTTTAGTGATACCATAAAGAATGATTCTCTACCTCGCTTGCCCGTAATATAGAAATGCTATATTTCAATATTGTTTAATTAATGTTATTATTTAGCTGTGTATAATTTATGATATTAGTATGTAATTAAATTTTATGGAACATAATTATTTCTTAATCCATTAACATAATACAAATTTTTATATATTTAAGGCAATATATCATATATATTTTATATGAATGATAATTAAAAAGTGCTTTCTTATATGGTGCAAAGTATAAATTCCCCCCCCCCATTTATTTTAGCATAATAGTTTATTTAATACGTTAAATAATATCCGAGTTCATAGTCCTGAAATTTCTGAATTCCTGATAAAGAAAAAAACAACAACTTTATTCTCATATTTTTTTAGCTTTTTGCTCTGATTTCTGACATGTCTGTGCTCAGAACATCACATATTCTACAAATACTAATGCAGTTCCTAAAACTATCAGTTTGAATAATCAAAAGATTTGTATTTCTGATGTAATATATATATATACATATACATATATATATATATATAAATGCCAAGACACAATATTTACTTTGCCTTCCTTTCAAAATAATTGAAACTCCACTTAAAAGTAATTTATTAAAGATGTCACGAATTTAATTGCAGATTTTAAATAAATATTGGTATAAATAATATTAAATAATTGATACTGGTTATTTTTAATACAGAAGTACTATTAACATTTCCTAATTATCGATCATAATCTGTTACGAATTGCTCATTAATAGAATTAAAAAAATTATTCAAGCTTTGTTTCTGGAATTAAAAAAATTTATATTTAGAGCAAATTATACTTTTTTGCTATATTTTTTTACAGTTAACTGATAAATGTACAATGTACCAGCAATTTGGTTATTAATATAATGTCGCAGTAAATAAAATTGAATATAATAGGAATATTGTTAATAAATTGTTGGGTTTAAGAAAATCATTAAAAAAAATATTTTTTTTCAACGTTTACCATTCAAAACATCGAATGAATTGTTTTCATAACACTTAACATTACTTTAAAATATTATTATAGCTACAATAGTAAACATTTCTAACTAAGATGATTAAAATTATTTAATTATTACAAAACTAGTTGAATAAATAGAATCATAATTATGTTTTTCATTCTCAACTTGCTAATGAATGTTAAAGTTTGTGATACTATTTTTCAATTAGATATCTAAAGCAGATTAAATTAGTTTAGATCAGACTACATTGTTGAAAAAACTTTTTTAAGTTACTTTGGATAGAATAAGTCTTGATATCTATGAGCTATATATATATGAACTGCATTTAAATAATTAAAAAATGAAATGTGAATAATTTTAATATGTTTCTTTGGCAGTTGATCTATTTTAAAAAATAATAATTTGCTTGCATATCCCTTTCATCATTTCTTAGTAAATAACCTTATTAATGAAAAAAAAAACTTGAATTAAATATACTCTAAATAATGTTTTTATTAGTTATATAGTATAAAAAGTATTTATAATTATAACAGTTAAATGATCAGTTTATTTAAGTAATTGATTCTTTCCAAATCTATTCCTTTAAATCAATACTTTTTTTAAGGATAATCATTAAAGGGATGTATGACTATAATAATTTACATACACATCTCTTTCATTATTTCTTAGTGAAATACCATCATTATCTCTGAAATCAGATCTTAGTTGTTTTTTTTAAATGCAACCTAAAGAATGCATTAATTAATGAAATTCAATATCATATTTTTGTAATTAAATTAATAATATTTTGTAAAAATAATCAGCTTGTCTTAATCGATGGCCTTTAAAAAATCAGTTGATTTAAATCAATTACATTTTTTTCTGTGAACATCATTTAATATATCTATAGTAAAATAAATTGCTTTATTTTTTGCAGGAAAACTAGGCTCATGGAAAAGTAAAGCTTCTGGAATGGGATAAAGAAACTATATTTGTCCATATGTAAATAGTGTATTTAGATGTATTGATTTGTTACAAGGAAATAAAACTCCTTCATGGTTTATTTTAAGCTTTAAGCCTTTTATTGTTGTTGAAATTCCTGCCTTTATATATTTAAAATTACTAAAATGGTGTATTATTTAATAGTACAAAATATTTTTTTTTTGAAAAAACTATTTATGATATATATTGTTTATCTAATATTTAATAAAATTAATGACTTGATGAATATACACAAAATTATAGGATAAATAAACTTTTGTGTGTAAGTTTCTATCAATAAAAGCTAGTTGTAGGTTTTAAATATATAAGGATTATTTTCAAAACTTAAATAACTTATTTATTGAGTTGCATTGTGCTTTATTTTAGAATAAAAATTTGTACTTAATTTCATCTATCTCATAATGCTTAAAAAATTTAAATACTCAATTCAAAAATATTCTTTTATATGCTTCCACTTTAAATGATAGCGTTTATAATTGTTTAAAATGAAATAAAAAAAAGTCTATTTTATTGTACGAAGATTTCATTGGACATTTGGTTATAAATTAAATAATTATTTTACACCATTTTGTTTTTTATATTGGCATAAAACACTATGCATGTAATGACAGTTGTTGTTATATTACAATATAAAAAGCTAAGAATCAATAAATTACTATCGCTGATATCAGCAGAGTAGAACAAACACTTGTGACAATTTATGTTCTCTAAATAAGAATTGTTAACAACATGCAGCAAAAAGCCTTTGAAATTAAAAGCTAAGTTCTAATAAAGGAAAGTAACTAACAAAAAAAAAATGCCAAGACACCTAAAATAAAGGTGTGATACCGGCAAGGACGGCATTAAAGTTTTCTATTGAACCAAGTGGGAGGTGAGTTAAGGGTGGTACATTGGTAAATAAGGCAAAGAAGTTCCCCTAAGCACCTGAAATAAAGGTGCGATATGGGCGAAAACGGCATAGGCGTTTTCTAATCAGCCTACAGTTAAGGTGCCCTAACGGCAAGCGAGGCAATGATGTGTGCCAGTGAACGTATTCAGCTTTTTATAAAAAGGCAAAAAAGACATCATAAAGGTACAATAAAAGCCTTTACGGCAATTTTCTCTTTATTCTGTGAAATAAATTTTTTTACCCGGTATTTAACAGGCAAAAATGGCAAAGCAATCCAGAGGCAAAAAAAAAGTCCCGGTCCTTCAACGACTGCCAGAAGTTTACCTGAAATGCCATGCACTGGCCCTCATTCTGGCCCAGATTTCACTTTATTAACGGAACCGATACGGCAATGAAAAGCCCGCCGTAATGGCACTTTAGGTGAGCCGACATTGTCCCTTCACTAGCCCAAAAGTCGTGTGCTTGTTGGGTACTGACAGTGTCAACTGTTATCTATCCAAAGGTACCTCCAGATAGAATCGAGTTAACATGTCTTATATACAAGTAAATTGGAATTGAATAATTCTAGTGGTAGCTAAACTACACCAGATAATAAAACTTGTAATAAAAGGATATGTCTATAGTCAAATGGGTTATGGGTATGTATATACATTATGGATAGTCATATAGGTTATGGATATGTCTATAGTCATATTAAAACAAAATTTTCTAAGAAGGGGTAAATAAAGTTTACCACCAGAAAACTTGCAAGCCGTAATTCTCCAAGTAACTGTTTTCGATGAACATACTATAGTCAAATAATTAGCTGCCTCAGAAGCAGGAAAACCAAATTTTGCCTGAAACTAAAAAAAAAAAACTATTAGAAAATATATTCATTTAAAGCAATGAAACATTTCACTAATATTAAAAAAAATTACTAACAAAATAACAATTTTCTAAATAGTTAATAAATAATGATTTAATGAAATATACAGAAGCATTCATGTGTTTGTGTGACTACAGCACTTTCAACACCTTAATAATAGACTTTTTTTGCATACCTGTTTCCTTACTTAGAGTGAATAAAAATATAAGTTTCTAAACGCATTCTTTAAATCTATTGCAACATTTTTCAAAAAACTATTAAGAAATTAGTCTTATAGAAGATATACTTTGAATTACTTGGACTTTCATTTTATTTAAACTTATACTTATTAACCTGAAACTTATGAGCCCTGCCAAGACACATATGGATGGGTACACGTACAAATAATGTCAAGGAACAAAATGTAATAAAATATTCTTAAAGTTGATTGTAAAATTATTATTGATGGTATAAAATGCTTTACACACAATGTATAAAATATTATATGTTAAAAATTAGGAAGAAAAAGAAACTAAAAATTTTTGAGCCTGCTTTTTTAAATACTGTTGTTTCAAAATTCTAGCGTAGAAACTTCTGTTTGAATGCAGAGTGAAAAATTATTGATTCTGATATTAATGAAAAAAATATTACAAATACACAGAAATGGGGATATTATACATTAGTTATATTCAAGGTTCCAAGTCATTTATAGGATTAAAACACAGGTTTTCACAGATTTTCAAGAAAATTTCAAGATTAGAAATCATGAAATTTCAAGATTACTAATTTTTTAATAGGAAATATGCCTAATATTACATTTTGTAAAATGTATTTTATTTCCCTAGAAGGGTTTTACACAAATATAAATTAAAGACAAATGCAATATTTTGCATAAAAACTAGAAACTGAAAAACTCAATGAAACATAATTTATTAATAGAGTCATATCAATGATACAGTCTGCTATCTAACTTCTTACTAATGATCAAAAATCAACATTTATTTATACAGAAAACTTAATTTTCAAGAACTTTTTTATTATTGATCTGGATTTATAGTTATATTTAAGAAAAAATTTAAAACCATAAATTGTTAAACCAAGTATTTTTTATAAATTAACATTCTAATTTCAATGTTCTAAAAAGATTTAACTATGTTACAGTAAAATTTTAACAAAAAGAATTTAATAAATAAAAGTAATAGATATTGAACTTATTTATTTTGAAATTCATTGGCTATATATTGTTACTGCAAATTTTGAAATTGGTTATTTACATTCAAGGTCCTGCAAAATGTTTACAAAATTTTGAAACAAAATTTAGCATGATTTTTCGACTCTTTTCTCCCTAAATAAAATTCCCAGACATTTCTAGGTCTTTCTTATCCAGTGAAAACCCTGATATTTTAAAGAACAAAAGCACATGCAAGCATTTCTAATTATTTAATTATTAGAAAATGCTGTTGCAGTTGTAGTTAATTTACGTTGCACTAGAGCTGCACAATGAGCTATTGGCGATGGTCTGGGAAGCATGATCCTGATCCAAATGGTCACCCACCTGCACACTGACTGCAGCCAGTGATGCCTGACTTCGGTGATCTACTGGGAACTGAGTCTTACAGTCCACTGCGGGACTATTAGAAAAAGCAGATCTGATTTTGCCTCATTTATTTTTTTGCTACAGAAACAATTATAAAAAGATAACACAAATTAGTACTTTAATTTCGCTAAATTCAAAAATTCAACGTTACTACAGAATTTTTTTTTAAAAAAAAAAAAAAAAAAAAAAAAAATTTTGAACTTATTTACTTTGAACCTTATTGGCTATTTAGTGCTATAGTCTAATTTGAAATAGGTTGTTTAGTTTCTAGGTTTGCTGAAAGATTTTTCCAGGTTCTAACCTAACATTGTATTTTTCCATCTCTTATTTTTCTTTAAATAAAATTCCAAGACAATTAAAAGGTTTTTTTTAGGCTATAAGATTTTTGATATTTTAAAGAATAAAAACATAAAAGCATAAGGAAGTACAATTAAACCCCTGAATAGCAAAATGTCTAAGAACCCAGCAAAGAGTCTACTATAAAACAAAAGTTCACTATAACCAAATTCTTTGAAAAATTATTTTTTAGCATATGACAATTATAAATATGTGTGTGACAAGAATGATTTCTAAAATGCATTTGCAGTTATCAGCACTTAAAAGATACAAATTCTTTAAGACAATATTTAGTTTTGAAATATCTTTCAAGTTTTTTTTTCTACTCTAAATGACTAATACTAATCAATAGATGTAAAAAACAGTGGATAAATTTTTTTTCCTTCTTTTTTTCAAGGAAATTCCATATTTTCAAGTTTTGTTTTGAATACAATCACTATAAGCAACTATATAAATTTAACAGAAAGTAAATGTATGCTTATGCTTTTTTCTGCAGGACAGACAGTTGCAGCTTTGCAATAATTTTAAAACCAAAAACTTCAAGCCTCCTCATTAACAACTCACCGCCCTAAATAAAGCATATTTTTCTTTCAAAATATAATAAACATCATAGATGACTTTTTACTGCTTCATACATATTATACCAGAGCTAATGTTGCTACAAATATTATTCTCATAGAGATAACTAATTTTCGAAAAAAAATTCTTCAAAATTTCTACAATAGACTTAATAGTTAGCAAAGCACAATTTTCATTACCAGAACAACAAAACTAGTTATAAGATCAGGAATTATAAACTAGTAATAATACCATGAAATAATCTGAACTGAAATACACTTTAAGAATATTTAAGGTTTAAAAATAGTTGAAATTCATAGCTAGAAGCTAATGTCTAAATAAATGGCTGAAAGTATAAGGCTTTGATATCCTGCCAGATTCTCATGGTTACTGACATCATATTTTTATAGACATAAGAAGTGTAACAAAATAAATTTAACTGCACAAGCCACTCTCATGATTTTAGTAAAATGCAACTATTATTCATACAATAAAAATTCTTCACAATTTAAAAGCATTATTGCCTTGAATTACAATAAATTTAATTAGTGGCATAAAATGTATATTTTAATTAATAAGAAAAAAAAGAACTTACATTGCCATTTTCTCGATCAGATCTTATTCTACTGCATTCAACTAAATTCAGAATAAACTTACAAGACATTGTTTGAATTGCAGTTACTAAAGATTCATCATGAACATTTTTTGAGAACACATTTACAGCCTTAGTCAGATCCATCAACTATAAATATTGTCTCATATGATGAACAAGATCAGCTAAAGTACTATAAGCAAGAGGCCTAAAAATATACAAGATTCTTACATTAAAATAAGTAATACTACAATCAGAAAAGCCAATTAAAGAGCTGTGAAACATAATACATTTAACAAAAATTATAATTTAAAATATATTTTCCAAGCCTCACAATAAATCAAAGAAAAAATCAGAACAATTTTCAAAAAAAAAAATCAAGATATACTTTGGAACAGTACACATTGTTAAACTAATTTTAAAAAAAAAAGCAAATGACAAAGTACAAAGGTATATTTTGTTCTACTAAAACAAAGTTCATCAAATGTCACAAAATTTAAAAATTTAAATAAAGTTAGAGTAGAATCAATTAACGCATAGGCAAAATTAATGAGATACGAAATACAATATTTTGCAAAAAGAAAGGAGAGAAAAAAAACTTATATTACAATACAAAAAATGTCATTCTATAAACCCTTTCTTTTTCCAAGTAGTTTATTATTATTTTAAACAAAATGAGATAATTCAAAGAGCAACTAAAATCTAAGTGCTTCTATTAGCCCACAGACCACATAATAAAAGATCTCTAATATATGTAGTGGATAGACGGTCCCTGAGTTGGAACTATTAAATTTTGAAATTTCTACTAGCATTATCAATCTATATTAAAATAATAAATAACAAAAAATGTTTGAAAACCAAAATCTCTTTATTCTACAAATCAAATCTTTTAAAGTCCATGCTTATAGAAAATGGGATGATCAGAAAATACGCGAAAATCGGGAATATTAGATCAAAAAGTTAAAAACAAGATCACATTTTTTTTTATCACGTCAATCTGGAATATCAGGACAACTGTGAACTCTAAGGTTTTTCAGGACAAGAAACATTGATGATGTTTTTGTGTCTCACTAAATCATCTGATTCAGTTTAAAACAATTTGATAGGAAAATAAAAACACATTTTTAAGTTAACCTTAATTTAAGTTTTTAATTTTTAGTTTAGCATTTTTTTAAACACACATAAAACCGGAGAACCATGTTATTTAATTTGACTAAGAGAACTACCAGTTAAACTTTATTGATACAATAGATTGTTATGCCTTCATTACGTATTCAAAGCAACAAAGTATGACATTTATAAAAGAATGGGTGAGTTCAGGGACAGGGAGCTTGCTCAAAGTCCCTTCGGTTTCTGAAAAGCAAACAATCATTTGAAAGGTGACTTTTTGAATGATCCAGCTCATATTTTTCACGTGACATTTTTCTTAATTTAATAATTCTTTTAACAATATTTTAAATAATTCTATCAAAAAAAAACAAACAACAAGAAAAAAATTCAAAATTTTCAAAAATAATAAAATACAATTCACGAGTTTTGGAAACCTAAGGAATATTCTTACTGATTCTGGCTTGATCCTTCTGCTTAAAATGCATCAATCAAATTTTCAATTTCTAAGTTTCATATGAATTTTTATTTTTTTGAAAAGGATAAAATAAAAAACTGTCTGTGTATCATAGAAAATACTTGTATAAAAAATTAAAGTTTATTTTCAAAATATTTTAATTCAATACAAAATTGTTTGTTAATAAAAAAAAAATTAACAACTCTAATCTTTATCTCAAGATTAAAAAAAATCAGTTTTTGAATTATATAGCTAGAATATCTAAGAGCAAGTTCCAAAATCTCCAAGGCAGAGAGCTAACCCAATGTAAAAGGACACAGATAAAGAAATATTACATTAATACAGTGTCTTGTCAATGACTTAACAAGGTTATTTTTAAATTTTTGTAAGTCATTCAAATTGAAACACAATAAAAACTTAGCTTGTAAAGTAAATTTCCAAATTCTAAATTTAAATTCTTTTCTTTTTAGCTTGAATATATAATTAAAGACAGTTAACCCCTTATTTCCGAAGCGTCACGAAAAAACATCTACATGCAAACTCCGGCTAGGTGTTGTTTCGTGACTCTCCAGGTGTATTGGGTGGGGAAGGTAGCTCCGCGGTTGTTGGGGTTCGTTGGGGTGGGGGGAGAAAATAGGATTGACAGTTAACATCAATTAGTTTCCTCCCCAACATTGTTGAAAAGTCTTCTCCTAAGGTTGCTGTTCTTAACTTTAAAAATTGCAGGCATGTCTTTTAGAGACAACACCAAATTTTATCTTCTAATGCTAAATTTATTGAAAGACACTGGCTTAAATCAACAAATCGACATATCCTGTGCTATAACGAAATGCTTCACGGCCCTTTTTTATAAAAAAAATAAATAAAAAAATTCTAAATTGATGTTAAACTGGTTATAATTATTTAATCAATAAGAATTTATAATTTTCTCAAATTATAATTAAAACTAAAACATAGCGTTTTTTTTTTCTTCGTGGGAATTCCTAAGAACTGCTACACTTTAATAATTCTTTTTTCATAGCCACACGGGTTTCTCATAGTGCAACCTCTAAGCAATCTTCGAATAATTATGGAACATATATTAATTTCTTTAGTTTAATCATTTTTCTTTGCATAAACGCTATAAATTTCGAAACGAAATTATTATTTTTTTTCATATCACATTATGTAATTTTATTTTCGAAACAAAATAAAAATATTTAATTGACGACTAGGTTCATTTGGGGCAATTTGACTTGCTAAAATCGAGCTCAATAGAAGTATACATGAATTTGAAATTTTTTCTTTTAACTGAAACGTAAAATAAATTGTTGCCATATTGGATTTTCATGTCAAGTTTACTGACAAAAGAGCCTAAACTGGCGAAACAATACTTCACTCTAACCACATTAAATATTCACCATTCATAGGAGGAACAAGAAAGTTGTTTAATTAATTCCGTCAAACATTGATGATATTCCTTTTATACTTGTTAAAATGCATTTGTGTAAAAAACAAAACAAAAAAAAACACTTTTGGGACAAAAAAAGCGTTTGTAATTAGCGTATACAGAAATTTGTTTGATATTTCAACTTAATTACCTAATACAATTCTTATTCTCCAGTCTTTGGAGGTTAATGCTTAAGCAATTGCCTTATACTCAATCTTTCTCAGTAAAAAGTATAATCAAAATTTAATTACATTGTTTTTCGCAAAATTTTTCTTCAAAACAATTTAACAAGTACACAGAGGAAATGTAGTGTTTTATATATACATATACGTATTAATGGGTTTTTGAGCGGGTACATAAAGAAACCTCAGGAACACTTACCTAAAACTTTCTAATAGTCTTCGATTAATAAAGATCAATGCTTTATAGTTAAATAATAATACGCCACATGAATCGAAAGGAAAAAAAAAAGGATTGAAAGTGAAAAAGGACTGATTTCTTGCTTTAGTTACTTTCTTAAATTTAAAAATTTATAACAATATTAAAACTTATATTTTTTCATTATGATATGCGTCGTTATGTTACTCGATACTGATCGCGAATAAAGAAACTTAGACATTATCTTTTAATATTTTATGGTGCATAAGAATATTGAAGAACACAATACATTAATGTCTACAATTTTATTTCAATGTAAGGAAAGTTACCAATTTATTCTTGGGAAATTCTTTTAGCTTAATGTTATAATTATAGATTATAACATTAAGCTGAATTTTATATTTTGTTTGGTTAACAAAAACTTGACCAAAGTCAACAGTTAAATTTTAAAAATATTGTAATACACTCTGAAATATGTATGTTTTATGACAATATATCATAATATTAAAATTCAAATTAGGTCCGATTAGTTACCTTTTAAAAAAATTGTCAATAAAATATTAGACAACAGACAGATTTTCATGCTTAAAATATTATATAACAAAAAGTAGAGTTCTCAAATTTAATTTTGAAATTATATGATGAAAATATGAAATATCCTATTTGCTAGTAAATTTAAAAACATTTAATAAATCTCTAAAAACTTGAATAGACAAAAAACTGCAAATATATTTAAATAAAAAAAAAGGTTATGTACATTATTATTAAATAAAATACAAACATTGCCCAAGCTGAAAACACTAAGCAAGCTTTGTAGCAGGCCAAAGAACAAATCAGGACAGCAATTTAAAAATAAAAAAGCAGGACAAAATTAGAACAGATTTGGAACAGCATAGCATTTTTTAGAACAGTTAATTGAAAAGTATAATTTACTCTACTTAATAGTAACAAAATAAAATTTCACAGCAAAAAAATAACTTGGTCATAGCAAAAAGTTTTAACAGTTTCCAGAGTAATTTTATCAATACAGAACAACAAATAATAGTTCCAAATCAAAACATGGAAAAATTTGATGAGACTGTTGATGAGACTGCATTAAAAAAATGAACAGTATCAATTCATCAATATTTTACTTATACCAATATATAATTCAAATGAGTAATTGAGTTGAAGATTTTTTTAATCTAATTAATGTAGGGTTTCAATAATCTCAAAACTAAAATGCAATGAATATGCAGTTTTACATTTATATAGAACACTAATTTTAGTAAGCAATCCCCCAATTCATCATTTAAAAGTTTTATGATTGCTTGTTGACTGGAATCACATGAAAGAAAACAATCAATATTTGTGAAACAGAAATCTTACAAGATTTTTTATTGCATTTGGTGAAAAAATTAAATAAGCATATCACCCTTGAAATCGACATCATAAAAATTTGATGTTGCAACATAGCTTATCTATTTTCCTTTCCATCGAATGACTTAATTCCCAAATAGGTTGAAACAATGAATCCTCTGGGTAAGACTCTAAAGATCTAAACCATGTAAATAATCAATAGACAGACCCTATATTGGAACCATCAAATATTGCGATTTTGACAAGCATTTAAAAAGAAAGTAGAAAAAGGATATTGGATCAAAATTTTTCAATTCTTTAAATCTATTTTCTCAAAAATCTGCATTCTCATTCCTCGAAAATCAAATATTCTATATGCACGCAAAATTCAGGTCAAATATGGATAAAATATTTCTTATCAGGGATATCAATATTATCAGGACAATTACTAACCTGATTTAATCTAATTTTTAAAAACAGCATTCTTGAGTATAAAAACAAAGTGAGATCAAGCTCAAATAGAGAAAACCTGATTATTCTGACAAGACATTAAAATGAGGTTGATTTCATACACACACAACCTAACCTACAGACATTAGCAACAATGGGATTACTTTCTTAAATACTGTTCAAATTTGTTATCTTAAACCCATATCAATGACTATTAACTGTGTTCATTAAGCTCATTAGTAATGTATACTAAATAATTGACAACATATGAATAAAAAAAACATAAAAGAGTAAAGGAAAAAAATTTAGATTGGCTACCTTCATAAAAAATAATACAGGATATATATAAAAATATGTACATTAAAAAATACAAAATTACCCATTGGCATGATATGAAAATACATACATGGGTGTTTTTTTCTGAAATTCTGGTTCTCCATCTCCTAAAATTCTGATAAAAATTTTTATAGCCTGATCCAAAAATGAAGGATATTGTGGATTACTAACAATAGTCTGAAAAAATAAAAGGATACATTAATTACAAAATTATAACACGAATATTTTATTTAAATATTATTCTTTTTATTATTGTTAGTTAAACTTCTATTCAAATTCTTTTATTTTTATTTGTTATTTTAAAAAAAATATATCTTTAGAAACAAAGTATGCTTGATTTCAATGGTGTGCCTCTAGTCTTTAAGTTTCAAATTCAAACTGTGATGTATCAAAAAAAATTTTTTTTTCTTCATTAGAGTAATAAAACTAATAACATGTTTACCATTAATAGTCTATTAATACTAATATAGGAGGGAGGATAAATAGTGACTTTATGTCTCAGCTTGCTTAAACAGTTTTCAAAAAGCTTTTGAGCCAATCACTTGAATGCTCCTTAATTCTTAGAATTTAAATTCTTATTTGCCATTCAATTAAATTCAATGATCTTCATACAATTGGTGCTAAAACGTTAATTTTAAATAAATAAATTTATCAGTATATGGGAAACTAAACTGACAATTGCATTTAATGTAAAAGAAAAAAAAAAAGGTAAAAAAGTGAAAAATTAAACCAAAAAAATCTGAGGCAAATTTAAATATCTAGAAAATGGGGCAGAGTTTAAAAGGTTCCTGTAATTCAGAAGTTAAAATCGAAATGCTGGTCTTAACGGTGCAATGACTTTAATAGTGCAGGGGTGATTGTGAGCCCAAGTCAAAATTCTGGAAAATTTCTTAAGTTAAAAAAAATTTAAACAAGGTTTTTTTCCTTTTTCTCAATAATTCTTAGATTACTTAAAATAAATTTAAAAATTTTACATATACCTATACCATTTACACGTACCTATGATGACCCAGAGAAGTAATAAAAATTTATAAATATGTCTTTCTTTCTTGAGTTTATGATTATAAAAACTATCTACTGATAAAAATGAATATTAATCATGAATATAAACTTATAAAGTATCTGGCTCTCCCTTACAAACAAATAAAATAAACTGTGTTCTTAAGTTCTACCTTTGAAAATTTAATTTCCGGAAACTTCTGTGATCAATGATTTTTTGAAACATCTGGACCTTCAATCTCCAGAAACTTCCGGATCACTGTTAGCGAAAAATCCGGAATTTTTCCGGAGCACAATCAGTCCTGATAGTGGCATATATAATCTGCGAAATTATGAAAAATGAACTGTCATCTCTGAAACTGAAAAAATAAATTTCGAATTCCCCATAAAATGACATTCTGAATACAGTATTTCACTATAGAATTTACTATTAAATTAAAATCTTACTTCAAGCTCTCCACTTTATTCTTGTAAAGCTTTTAATTTACTTTCATCCTCTATAAAAGAAAATAAAAAGAGAAAACTGAAGTTTTGCAATATAAAAATCAGTAAGAAAAGTGAATTAATGACAGATAAATAAATAAAAAATAAAATAAGCTATAATTACAGGTTACTACAATAAATGCATAAAATATATTTCATCAAAGTTTAGCTTTAAAAAGAAATGTGGATATGATTTAATTAAAAATGAGAAGTAAGAATAATTAAGTATGATTTTTTATCAGGTTCAGATAAATACAATGATTTGTTAATAGGTATATAGTTATCTTTAAAAATAGACAAAAATGTTGAAGAATGATTTTGTATTTGATGTAGATAAGTAAGATTTATTTATAAGTATATTACTTCGGTTATTTTATTTTTTATGAATATCAATGTATGAGGATTGTAAACTTTACCAAAATAAAAAAACATCAGCCACAAGTATATAGTTATTCATTAAGTACATCTTTAGTTAAATGTAATCTCAAATACCAAATTGCAATGAGAAATTTTTAAATGAAAATAAATTCTGATTTTTCAATTCGCAATGACTAATTATTAAACTTACTTGCAACAGGATCTTTGAGCATTGATACATAAGAGCGGTAGGTATTCATAACAGCAACAGGATTATTAATGGATGCTGGTACACTCATTACTGGTATCCTTGCCATGTTTAAGGACTCCAGAAAAAGCTATTCAATGATAAAACTCACCTCCAGTTTTAACAATTCTATAAAAAAAAATTTAAATAATTTTAAGAATTTGCATAAATTGTAAGGACTGCAATTATTCACAGGCAAAATTAGTAAACATGCATTAGAAATTTAAAAGAAAACAGAGATTATTCTGTTTTATAAGAACAAGAAATGTTATATTAGTTTTCACTTAATGCCACTTAAAGCTTCAGTTTCTAGCTGAGTTATATTCTATAAAATAATATAAATACAGTTGAAGCTCAATATAATGACTCAGCTGGTCCAAACAAAAGCGAATGAGATAACATGAGTTTGATATATAGTGTTTATACCTATGTAGTGCACATATTTACTAATATTTTACACTAGATACCTTTTTAAAAAAAGTAGAGATTCAGTTATTTTGAGATTTATAATCCAAAATCAAAACAATATATAACTGCAAACTCATATGCATTACATGCTTACACTTTCAGATCTGGTCATTTTAAGATAATTTGATAAGAATAGGAAATCGTGGTGAGTTTGTTTTTAAAATGTTTAGTACAACATATGCTGAAACTTTAGACAAAACAAATACGTTAATTAGTTCAATGGCACTTTTAATGGATAACAAAAAAAAATTTTAAACTTTATTATCATTGTTTTACAAATTAAAACACTCTGATGCAAGCCAGTGAATTAAATTTGTAAGTTTTGTTATTTGCCAAAATGAAACAAACTTTAATTGTTTTAAATTTATTTTAAGTTAGAAGAATGGAGAGATCTCAAACAGTAAATAATGAATTTGAAGGCAAAAAGAAGACTTTAAAAAATAATTAGCTTATTGGCACCGTTGGAGAGATAGCCAAGTAAATAAATTTCTACATTAAAAAATTAAAATTAGTCTTTACATTCACATGGTTAAATCATCAAATTCGTTTTGGAAATTAAAATAGACTTTCGATTCATTCAATTTCATTAAACTTTCTTAAGCTTAGACAAAATATTTTTTAATGCTAAAATTTTTCATTTTATATTTAGACACAGGATTTATTGTTTAGGCCTTTATTGTGAGTACACAAACATATAATTTTATTATGTTATTATATATATAATCTATGTATAAACATATATTGTGTAAATAATTTATGTATGCAGCTAACCACTGTAGGTGCATAATCCCTCACCTTTAAAAATTTTTTGATTATTTACATACATTTTTATTTAAAGCATAAAACACTAATGAAAATAATTACAAAACAAAATAACAAAATTATGAATAACGAAAGAAACAGCTATTTTTTTTAAAAAGAAGAACAAAATAAGTAACACCTATATGGAAATAAGATATCAGAAGATTGTTAGGATGTTCGCAGATACCTCTTCCACGCAGTGACATTGCAATTCAGTGGAGCTGTGACTGAGTTCGTGCAGAGGTACCACATTTGCTGCCTGGAACAAGTAGCGTGAAGACGTTTCAAAACATAAAGCTTAGCTCAATCCTTGTTCTTTTTTTACTCATTATTAGTATAGCCAGTTGTTAGTGTCTAGATGATGCCACAAGATGTTCCATAGTTGGAAGACTCGAGGCAGGCCAATCATAGGCTACTTGTTGCAGGAACTCAGAGTTTTGAGAATGGTGGTGTCCACTAAGTGGAAACAGTTCACAAAAACAGGGAAAGTGATCCACCAACCTGGTCAAGGCCACAAAAGGACAACAATGCAGTCTCAAGACCATTATTTCAGACTTTTAGCCTGCATTCCTTCGACTGTGATTCACAAAAAAAAGACCACCTCACATGGTGCTGAGAACATAATTAGGGGGTAGGTTCTCATTAGTGACAAGTCTAGATTTAGTCAACAACTTAGAAAAGCACATGTATAAATTAGTGACTTTTCACTTGCACCCAGTAAAGCGAAAAGAACCGTTAGTTATACTCCAACAGCCATGAATTTGGTTAAACTTGATTTGTTTACCCTCATATAAGGTTTATCAATTGTGTAATATTTAACAGAATTTCATTTATAATTATTAGTTAAGTTTCTATATAGTAATAATGAAGGGAATATTTCCGCGTCGTGATCTGTGATGCCGACTATAATCACCAAGGTAGCAAATTTATTTTAAACTAAAAGAAATAAACAAGTAGAAGCTTGTCTGAGGATGGCTATGAGTAATATCTTTTTAGTAGGCCCCCTTTTATAAAATTTTTTAGTTTCTTGAGGGCCATTGCCTGAAAGCTGCCAAAGCTTGGCATTTGTTTGGCTATAGATCATGATACAGAAATTTTCCTACAATGAGCTTCTTGATACAGCAAGGTATACTAAACTTGCTGCAATAAGTGATTAAGGTAATAGAAGTTTAATAGGGTTGCAAAAAACTACCAGGGGTCAGTCTAGGTTTTTCTGAGAGGTACCTATTTTGTGAAGATTTAGATATAAATTGTGGAAATTAAAAATTATGTTAAAAAATCAACACAAAAATATGGATTTATCGCTTCTTACGGGATACAAAAATAAAATTTTAAGAAAAAGTATTTTGTGAAACTATCGTTTTTCCTAAAGTTGAATTTGTGAAGGTACCTCTAAACCAGTGTTTCCCTAAGTGTGGTACGCGTACCCCCAGGGGTACGGGAACAGTTTAGCGGGGGTACGCGTTCTTATGCGAAATATCTTCAAATGGAAATTTCAATAACTTTTATTTAAAAACAAAGCTAGCCATGGAAAATTAAAATTACAAATTTTCTATTGGCTATTTTTTGCAGAGTTAACAGTTTATAATTAGTGGTGTAAACAGCCTGTTGTGATTTTTAACTTTTGTGCAATTTTTTTACTGTAAAAAATGCATTCATTATTTTTATTGGTGGTACACAGCGTTTCGAAACGTTTAGAAAGGGTACACAAAAGTCATAAGTTTGGGTAACACTGCTCTAAACGATAGTAAATTTGGCCTGGACAGACCCCTGGCTACGGTTAACCAATTTTAAAAAGGGAGGGGAAAAAGGAATTAAAAAGATTATAGAAAAACAGTCATTGCAGCAACTTAGATTCATTGAAATTGTATACTTATAAAGATAAAGCAACTGCATTTATACCAGCACAGGGTTTGATAAACTTCCACTGCCCAAATGTAAAAAAATGTTACACAAAATTAATTTCTTCGAAAAATATTATTTGCATTTAAAAGTGCAATGCAAAATTGCTGAGCTTTTAAATAAATAATTCTAAACATGATTATGTTGAAAAATTAAAAAAAACGTTATTGCGCTTATTATTATGAGAAATAAAAAAAAAAAAACTCACACCATTCTTTAATTAAAATTGACTAATGCTGATGCACATACAGGAATATTTCAAACTATTTCATTAAATAATTAAGGGTATGCTAACGCGAAATGTTCAACAAAGTCTGTTGTTTGTTTACGAACAGATTTCATGATTATGTAAAGGATCCGGTTGCCCATTTCTGCAAATGTTACTAACCAGTTCAAATGGAAATACTAAATTTGTTGTTGTTGTTAATTTACGTCGCACTAGAGCTGCACAATGGGCTATTGGCGACGGTCTGGGAAACATCCCTGAGGATGATCCGAAGACATGCCATCACAATTTTGATCCTCTGCAGAGGGGATGGCACCCCCGCTTCGGTAGCCCGACGACCTGCACGCGAAGTCGAGCACTTTACGATAGAACAGTTTAACGAGGACCAATGCCGCACACCCTCGGTCCCTACGCAGACTGATCCAAGTGGCCACCCACCCGTACACTGACCGCAGCCAGTGATGCTTGACTTCGGTGATCGATCTGCTGGGAACCGTGTCTTAACGATCAGTCCACTGCGGGACGCGGCGAACTACTGAATCACCTACACGAATTCCGAGCTTCGTGGTTCCACATTGTTTTTCACTCTTTATCTGTAGGAACTTACCGCTTCTTGGCTCCTTGTTGGTTCGGGTTGATTTCGGCAGCATTGCTGCAAAAGATTATTCACACTGAATACGAAAAATTTGAAAATGTGAATGGTTCGAATTTTAAAGTCATCTGCGGTGACCAGCTTTGCATCGTGGTTCAACGCTTCCTCTGAATTCTCAGCATTAGAATTTTATTGTTGTTGTTGTAGTTCATTTACGTCGCACTAGAGCTGCACAATGGGCTATTTATTTATTTATATTTATAACCGTCGTTGAAAAGCCGACCCAATTCTTTTGGGTTTACGACTACTAATGCTCAACTCCGTAACCTTGTAATTTTAAACCAATCCAGAAGACAAGGAAACTCCTGGATTAGTACCCCCAGAGGTGCGATTTGTCTTGGGAACATGGAGGACTTTGAGACTCGACGGATTTAACGTGCAGCAGTCACCACTTACTACACGGGGAGTCTTCGGCCAGTGAGGATCGAACCTACGACCTCTTGGACATGGCTCCAGTGCCCTACCAAACAGGCTCTCCCGGCCTGCAAAATGGGCTATTGTCGACGGTCTGGGAAACAACCTGAAGATGATCCGAAGACATGCCATCACAATTTTGATCATGGATATTTCTCGAAAAATTCATTCAGCGTTGCTTAAAAAATTATTAATAGCATTTCAAAGTAATTTGAAACATTAGGTAATTAATTTTTAATGAGATTTATTAATATAAAATGTAAAGTTGTCGGAGAGTTAGTTTTTGAGAAAAAGTGAAAATGGCTTCTCCCATAGACTATCATAGATGTAGATTATTGCTCACAGAGATGCAGACAGTCTTAAATCAACTAATAGAGACCACCTCATTGAAATATATAGTTTGTCTGTGGTAAGAACTTCCCCCGCCACATATTCTGAGGCCGTCTGCTGCTACGGAAACAAGAATAGAGCATTTCAGGGAGAGTACGAACGCACACAGTTCTAACACTGTAGAACGAATAAAAAGATTATTTTCTTTCTCAAATCTGAGCTAAAACCTGTCCTATATAATGACCCCACATCCCTACTTGAAATAGTTATACCTCGTTACCATAGTCACCGCCACGGGTCCAGACAAATGGCTTGGGGAGTAGGGGAGAGTGGGGTCAATTGTAACATTTTTTATTTAACTATTTTTAACTAACAAAAATCCAATATACTATTAGTATTAATTGACAGACGAGTAAAGTAGACTATCTGTACTAGAAAAAATAAATACCTTATTTTAAATGTTATTATATTAGTTATTAACAATTTTTGACAGTCGTACAGTTGTTACAATTGTCCCCACTTACGGGGTCAATTGTAACAGTTCATAAATTCAACTAAAACATAGTTAATTATACGTATTATCATAGTTGTGATATACTTTTTTATTGATCAAAATAGCAGTGATATTTTAGGAGTAAAAATAACAATGAGCAGAGACCTAAAGGGTTGAACTTTTAACTTTAAAGGGTTAAAAATTTTAATTTATCCTGTGAAAGGTGACAAATAAAACAATGCA